GGGAAAGGGGAGGCAGCAGTGGGGAAGAGACAGAGATCTTAAATTAATTAATAAAAAAATAAATAATTTTTTTTAAAAAAAAGAGAGGAAAGGTAAGCATTCAAATGCAAGTCTTCAAATGGTATCATAGACTTAATACTGACAAGACTGTCTTGAAACCCAGCTTTTCATAAGGAAGGAAGAACAGAATATCAGTACAAATATTGAGTAAAAGTCAGACACAAAGTGGTCAAGATTAATGAATGTTTTTACCTTAATGTGTTTAAGTTTCTGCATTTTAATGGGCTATCTGAATAATGTTTGGTACCAAGTAAATTCAATGAAAAGAATAGACTTACATAGTAGGCCTCAATATTTCATAATCTCCCCATGCATTGATTTTCTTTTCTGCTATCAATAAAAATCATATAATAGGACTTTTATAAGAGTTGGGTGAGTTATTTAAATGCTTAGCATAATGCCTGATGGTGCTTCGTAAATGTAGTTGAGGATCCTCATTAATTGAGGTGCACTGAAATCCCCTGTAGAGCTTGTTAATGTGCAGAATTCCAAACATTGCTCTGGAACCTTGTAAATGCAAGCAAGACAAATGCCGTTTTATTAAGCATTCCAGAAGATTCTAACACAGATAACACAGGAAATTTATCCCTTGAGACTCTTTGACTAATTCATTGAAAAATAGTTTCTGCAACAAACTCGGCCTTTATGTATGCATAGTGGAGTATGTAGTTATGTGTAGATCTCAAGTTCCACACAATCAATTATTTAGACAGGGTTCAGAAAGCATAAACTGTAGGTCCGACAAAGATAAAGAGGAATATAATAGATGTATTTTTCACAGAGTGACTATCTTGCACAACACTGTGACTAAGTGAGTGGTTAGAAAGTAAGAATTGACAATGTCCTGGAAATTGTATAAAGTACTTACAAGTACATATCTGAGGTTGATAAGTACTCACAGAATTATCTCCTCCAAGAAACCTACAGATTCTACAAGTGTATTCCAGATATTTTGCCCAGGAAGGTAATAAACATAAAAACCCAAGTTCCTTTAAATAACAAAGAAAAGCAAAAATGAAAAAAAATCTAGTAACAACTATAAAGCATTTCTGTGATATTCGACAATGCATGAACATTCCCTAGGACTCATGCAATTAGAATGTAAATACTATGTAATGATGACCCCATCCTGAAATATATCTATGCAACCTCTACTTCCATCAACTTACACATGTTAAAATACATAAATAAATGTGCAATTGGCAAAATAATCTTTGAAGATTGCCATTGATAAGTTACACCTAATGAGACTTGTGCAGATCTAAAGGATAACATAAATAATATACTATTAAATTCTTTATACAAAATGGAGAATGAGAGCTGGGACTGAAGCAAATGAGAATGTGCAGAATGCAATGAGTTGCAGAATTAAAGTTCTGTGCATGAGACTTTAGCAATTCTTTTGCAAGGAACAAAAATCATAATATCATAACTAGTTACAGCCACCCCTATATGCAGAGAAAATAACTAGCTAGTTTAGAGGGACCTTGATATTTTTTATTCAGGCTAAAATTGTTTTTGTCACTGTGCTTAAGAATTCTGTTTTCCATAGCTCCCAGTCACAGTATCAGAATCACATTAATTATTCAAACTATAGCTATAAAGAGAGAACTTCATAGCTGATGTAAACTGAGATGAAGAGGTGCTTAACATGCCAGAATCTCTCCAGGTTGTCAGTGAATCGTCTGCTGTCTCCTGACTCAGCCTCCAAGCTGGAGCGAAATTTGCATGATACTTCTCTTTCCCCTTGGTCCCTTAAATTGGTTCATCAGCCTGACTCTTACCTACTGTGTTCAAAACCATGCATTCAATACTCTGACACTCGAAAAGCAATGCTGTCAGCATTGGTCAGATTTAGGGCTGAATGTCCCTGTCAGCAATTATCAGCTATAGGATTTGGGAAAATTATTTATCCTGCCTAATGCAATTTTGTCAAGGTATAAAATTAAAAAAAAAGAAAACATGAAAATAATGGCAAAGTGTGCTCAGGGTCTGGGAAATCATTCCAGTGAATGGTAGCTATTGTTTCCTCAATGCTCATCTCCAGCTTGTCGCCTGACACCTTGCCACTCCCAGGGCTTAATGATTCGCTTTGATCATTCCCGTTTTGAACTCCTCCCAGATTCTGGCCTCATTTGCTGACAGTGGCAACAATGAGAAATAAGCCTGTATCACAATGGGTCATAATAAACTATTATCACCTCCAAATGCATTTCTAACTCATAGTGCAGCATTATCTAACTAATCCAAGATAAAAGCTCAAATCTATCCAGTGAATTCAAAATATCTTACAAAAGTCTGGATAGAGTTTCAGGAACAACCACTCCTAGGGACACTGTAGCTTTGTTTGAAGTTTTACCCCAAAGTCTACACTACTCTTTGTCATTTGATAATTTGAGCTTAGACAAATTATAGATTAGTTTAATTAAAAGCTCTGGAACTACTATTCCGGCTAAAGGTCTAGAAAGGCTGTAACATTAATACAGGAACAATTTTATACTTTGTGCCTCTATCACCCTCTCTAAAGATGGCCACTGAAAAATTCAAAAGATTTCCTATTGTTTGCTATGGTTAGTCCTCTAAAATGACTGCTCTTTGAAAAGGATAAGCACAATTGTGTTTGAATATTTTCCTGATACTGTATTTGTGAGATAAGGCAGGCTTTGAAACCATTTATAAATGGGCATTCTCCACTAAACTGTGAGATCCCTGAGGGCAGGAAATAGTGTCTCCTTTAATTTTCATCCTCAGGATTTAGCATGCTCAGTTAATGTGTCATTTATTGAATTTATTTATTGGATTCCAGCTCAGTGTGGAGATTGCACTTTCAGATATTCTCATCAAACACTGATCTTCATGGCAGACTGCTGCAAAGGCCTCTAGATGAAGAATTGCTGAGACTGTATGCACCTTTGTTTCCTTGCCTCTTTCATAAAGTAAAAAATGAAACTACTAAGAGGGCCCTTATTTTGTTTTTGTGTTA